GGAAGGCACCGACTTCAGCAGTTGTATTCACAAGCTCTTAGGGTGCAAAAGAAGGCGACGGTGACTCACCCAAAGTCAAGTCAAGCAGAAGGTGAACCAATACCCAATGCCAAGCTATCAGTCTCAGCTGTGCCGTGCTGGCCCTCCACAGGAAAAAATAGGGACCCCACCATGCTCTCCAGTGTGCCCCATACACCCAGCTACACTTGCTTCTACATTAATTGCCAAAGTTTATTGCATATTGTGAATAGTTCTCTAAAATTATTATATTAAGTTCAAACTTTGACAGAAGGTGTTGAGTGCATCCAATACACGATACTCTGACAGTACAAGCCTCTACATTTTCACTACAGATTTCCTTCTCTTTGCAGATTGGGAGAGCGTGCACTTCAAAAAGCTTGAGGACTTTTTCTACACTATTTTAAAGTTGATATATTCCTATTTTTTTGTTTGTTAGCAGTTAAAAAAGGCATTATAATGAAACAGGAATAAACAAAGTTGTAAATATGTAAAAATTTGCTCTTAAAACATGCTTCAGGATTTTAGTCTTCTATAAGCAAAACAATTACTTGAACAGTCTATCCCTTCCTATTCACATATCTTTCTATTTCACTGGCTTTATGAAGATACACTGTCAGTAAAAATCTTGGTCATGATATTAACCTATATAACCAAATCCACTGAATTATTAGCCTTAAGGATTACCATTTTATATAAAAACACCACCACCCCTGGAGATCCAAGTCACCCAAATTTTCAGTATGACAAGGAACACACATTCATTTCTTTTGATATATTTAAATGGCTGCCACGCTTCCCTGATGTGGAAAAAGTAAATTGCAATTTCAGTTTTTCAAGACTAAGACGAACAAGAGCAACAGAGAATGAGGTTAATGCTTACAGATTGCCGCCTCTTCTATATTATTATTGCCATCACTGATTCCTTTTTGTATTTCATCCAGCCACAGAAGTGCTGATTCATCTTGGGATTCCTGAAAAAAAGACAGAGAAAAGCCTTGAAAAAACTGAATTATAACAAAAGTTGTCTGAATCTACTCATACAGCTCTGGTAAAATCTACTCTTGCAAAGCCCTTGGACATTAAAAAGAATTTGACTGCTTAAAATCAGAAATAAAACACATTCATATTCTACTGATGTCAATAAACTCCTGTTCAAATGTAAAGCTCTGAAAGTTTTCATGTATAGAAGACACCATCCTGCCAAAAATCAATAAAAAATTTAAGCGAAGGTAGAAACATTTTAATTTCCATGATACGAAGGCAAAGTAATCTGAGTGTCAAATGAAACCACACATTATCAGGCAGCACTGTGACAGCAGCATAGAGAGCACAAGGTAGAAGACTGCAGGAAGTTGGCTTTCTTTCAGAATCCCTTATTTGGAAGAGATCCGCATGTACACCTGAGTACACATTGCGTTACAAAATAACAGCGAGGACTAACAGAGGACAGCTCAGGATTAGTAATGATAACCTAGCTCAGGTGGCAAATGCTTCAGGAATTAAGCATCAGAGCAGGTCTCACTCTTCCTGCAGGCTGACAGTACATGGCATTAGACAAACCTAAGTTAAAATAGAAGGTGTAGGAAATGAGCCTGATAGCCAGCCCTGCTCTGGCTGTCCAGGTTCACAGATGAACCACTGCTTCAGCTGAGAAAATAGGATTTCAGTGCTAAAGTGAACTTTGAAACCTAATGGGGGAGAGGGGAGTAAGGTGGGTGGAAGGGGGTGGGGAAGGGCATGTGGTGTGTGGGAATCCTAATGAGGAAAGAGGAGTGCCAGGTCTGTAATAGGCTAATGATGAGAGAATCAGGAATGTACTGATTTGATAAAGATCTAGGAGTATATACACACAAATATTTCAGGGACAAAACACCCAGAAACTCTCAAGCTAAAACAGAGCGGACAGAGAACCAGTTTTGCAAAGAATATTCCCTGCTTTTACACCCAAATCCAGGCCAAATATCCAAGAAAATTGTTACCCACCTAAATTACAAAGACAAACCAGGGTAAAAACCCCTAGAGGCAGATTCTTCAAGTCTGCATCATATATGTAATCAAGGCAGCAGAATATCTAAATAAAATCAAGTAGTATTAAGCAATCACACAACAGTGAACACACACCGCAAGTTTTTCTAATAGGAAAGTTGGAGTTTACACTTGAGAGAGTATATACTAAATTTGCAAACTACAGCTGACAATTTTGAGAAAAGGATTGAAAAACTGAAAAGAATTCCTTAGCTTGTATCCAGCTTTTACACACTAAATACAAGAACAGATGCAAATACTGCTCTGGAGCCAAGTACAGCTTATGCCGAGCCTCACTGATAGCTTGGAAGCCAGACCAAGACTTGGGCTGATTTTTTCCTGCTGGAGCAAGCCATTGTTATCTGGCATTCAAGAAAGAAAAAAAAAAAACCCAAAAAAACCTGAAGCCAGACATAAAAAGGAAGGGATCAACAAAACAACAGATGAAAAAAGGGGAAAGTTTTTAAAGACTGCAGGCTTAGAGGGGTGGGAACTCTCTGAATGGAGCCGGCAGCCAGATTGAAGGAGCACAGACAGTTAACAGTGGGGCAGGGAAGCAGAAGGCAGAGAGGATCATAGTTTTCTTAAGGCATGTTTGTATATGTGGCTTGCTATCACCTTTGCATTTGGTAACCTGAGATCACCCCACTCTTCTCCAAGCCTGACTGCTTCCCCGAGAAGGCTACAGAGACCAGCAATTTCAGTCTGTGGATGGGACCCTTGAGGACTTACTAAACACACCCTTTGATTTTTTCCAGAAACGCTTTTTACCCCAGGTATCTGTATATGCAAATTCCAGAAGAACCCCCCCCCATGTCAGCTCCGGGCTTGTGGTAAATTAGGAGTTAAATTGCTGCTATAAAGCAATTTTATCTCTGTGTTGGGCAGGGGCTGAAACTGAGTCATGTGTGCATGGATGGATACGTCACACCCTCTTGCTGTAGCAGACAAAGAACAAACTAGCTGCTTACCATAAACCTCATGTCTACAGGATGCTTCTGGAGGACAGATCAATCATTCTTTAGCCCCTTACAGAGGGGAAAAAAGTCCCCTCGAGCAACAAAACACCTCGAGATGAACTAGAGCAGCACTGTTGTTTCGCTAGCTGGATTTCACATACTACAATGAAGATACTGTTTTTCACTGGACTGCTCTCCCTTACCTCCAGTCTTTTCACAACAGGTGAGTCCATTCTGTATTTTAGTCAATAACATGTGCCTTTTGATAATGCTGACACTTTGACAGCTTAAATGAGTTGTACATGCATCATTACAGAAAACTATGCTCTAGGAAGTCTCACTTAAGGCAGATTTTTATCCTTCCATTTCAGTGACACCTTTTCTCCCCTCCCCTAGTCACTTTCTATAGTGACTTTTATTTAAGGCTCTTTCTGTGCTAACTGAAGACACATCTTCTCTATAGTATTTCTGCAGCGATATGACAATCTTAAACCTGTGAAGTCTTGTTTTTTCTGCTTTAATAAGTTCAACAGAATTATGACTTCACAGATGGTGCTATTAGAAGGAAGTGCTCAGATGACTTTTTTATCAAAAATAACCAAAGGAAGTTATCAAATAGTAAGCCCTTTTTTTCTCACTAGAATTAAACCTTTTTTCAAACCATGCTCACTTTTAAAAGCTGGTTTTCATATATACAATATATATATGCACATGCATGCACATATGTCTTTAAAAGAGTGACTGGAGTTCATTTTCTCGATTAACCATCCAGAAAATTACTGAAAGGGATGCAATCTACTAATTATAATTTCAAAATATTCTACAATAAATCTGTCAGTAAGCACTGATAAAACTATTTTCCATATTTTATTCCAGTATGGAAGGGTAAAAGAAAAACACTTAGGTTTTCATCCAGACTACAACCCACTCGTGAATTCCGGTTTCAAGATGCATGCTCTAAGATTATACTAAGCCTTTTTGCGTTAAACACACCTAAGAAAATTTTTAAATGCCAAAATTAATTACACGGCTGTTAATTCTGCAAAACCTATTTCAAAACATAGGTTTTAGAAAGTATTTTTCACACATTTGTGCTTCATTTGGAAATGTCAGTGTCCCTACAAAGGTCTCTACTGAAGACTGAGGAACAAGCATTAGTAAAAGTGGCATCATCAGCTTTGCCTGCATGCTAATGATATTTACACACTGAAAATACCAGTCCAAACATTTATTTTCTGTTCTCAAGACTAACTCCCTGTTCTCACACATGAGGAGACGAAAAGGTCTGGTTTACTTTAGTCAGAAACTGAATAACTACATTAATTTGATACATGAGACCAAAAATATTGAGGGTTGGTTCAATTTTCAATTTGCAACTTTCAGCCTGTGTTAGACAGGATAGCTTTTTGCATCTTTTGCAGTCATGCATTCCGTCCATGAAGTGACAAGGATAGTACTGAGGTTTGCTTTGGAAATTCTGACCAAGCCTGAACCAACTCTGCTGCTTATATGATGAGTTTCCAACATTGTTACTACTGGGAAAAACCCTCTAAAGGTGATAAAGATTACACAGATGTCTGATTTCCCCCCCCCCAAGATTACTGAAAACATGAAATATGCAGAAAGCTAAGCCTAACACTAAATACACTCTAAATTTTCAAGGTTGAGTATGAGATGACAAAAATCAGTCAAGACTGTCCTTGAGTGCATTTAACATGAACGGCCAAAGCAAAGGAGAATGCCACCAAATCTAAACATATATTGATTTTCACATAGAGATCTTTATCTTTCTCCATTCCTGAAGGTGAATTATATTGCTAATCCAATACTTTGATCTTTTTAACAATGTTTTTTTTTCCTTTTTAAGCTTCAGAATTTTCACTGAATGGCTCTGCAATTAAAACTGTGTCACTTATCAAGACTTTCCGTGGAATTTCAGCAAGAGACTATGATTACATCCCCCCATATGCTATAGAAGGGGAGACAACGACCATTCATATCAAAGAACACAAATGCTCTTCAAAAAAGTCAAATGACTCCACTTTAACAACAGTGAACAACACCACTCTGGAGTATCTGACCAGTTCTCTGAGTACCAAGCTAATACCCACCATCTACCTCAGTGCTGTTTTATTGGGTGTACCGTCTAATGCCATCATTTTGTGGATGCTGCTCTTCAGAATCCGGTCTGTGTGCACTGCCATCCTCTACACAAACTTGGCTGTTTCAGATCTGCTCTTCTGTATCATGCTGCCCTTCAAAATAGCATACCACATCAACGGGAACAACTGGATATTTGGGGAAATGATGTGCCGAACTACCACTGCAGTATTTTATGGCAACATGTACTGCTCCATTCTGCTGCTCATGTGCATTAGCGTCAGTCGCTACGTGGCCATTGTTCACCCCTTCACCTACAAGAGCCTGCCAAAACGTGTCTATGCCATCACAGTCTGCGCTACTGTGTGGACCATCGTCTTCTTGTACATGCTGCCGCTTTGCATAATGCAACAAAGCTATTATGTGAAACAACTGGACATTTATACCTGCCATGATGTGCACAATGCCTGTGAAACAGTATCTTCCTTCCAATTCTACTACTATGTTTCTTTAGCTATCTTTGGCTTTTTAATACCTCTTGCAACTATCATTTTCTGCTATGTCTCAATTATACGAACTCTCAAGACTCATGAATGGTTCTGGTATGTTAAAGTCAGTCTTTTGATCCTTACCATCTTTGCTATTTGCTTTGTGCCAAGCAATATTATCCTTATTATCCATCACATCAACTATTACTATCACAAAACAGATGGATTGTATTCTTTTTATCTAATTGCTTTATGCCTTAGCAGCTTAAACAGTTGTCTTGACCCTTTCCTTTATTTTCTGATGTCGAAAATTAGAAGTCAATCCAATATTTATCTAACAATGGTTAAAATATCCAGGGAAAAATGAATTTAGTTCTATATTTATACTACTGCAATTACGATTTTTATAGTATTCACCCAGGCAGCAACAAACCTCAGTGCAACAATTAAACTTTCAAAATTAAAAAGTGTTAAGGAAGACAATCTCAATAAAAATTTACTTCCTTCCACATACCACACAAGGGATATCTTCAGAAACATACTTTTCCAGCCCGAAAATACACCTCTATCCCTCCATTTCGTTCTGAGAAGATCAATTTCAGGGCCACAGAGAAGAAACCAGAATATCTGTCACCACAGCCTCTGAATACCAGAAGAGGAATCAACGTCCAAACAGCACTTTGGGCCCATTCATGATTTTTAAATACTTCAAATCAGCTCCCAGCCCACAAACATTGCAGGAATAGTGATGTGAAAACTAGTTTTTGGCCCAGTGGAAATGGCAACAAGTAAAAGCACTTCCTATGTGCCTTGGAGCTCTTGAGCGTTGCAGGACCTCCCTGTCACACGGCCAAGAACAAATACTGCCCTGGATGCTGGAAATAAAGAACCAGAGTCCCTATGGGTTCAAGGAGCAATAAATCTACAGCCGTAGACAAGGAGCCTGACAGTTCCCAAGGCAGAATCTCCTATGATTCTGCTTAACCAGCTTTGCACAGGAGACTTGTTCTTCTACTTTGTCAGCACCTGCACTCCTCTAGCACATGAGGATTGCTGGGAGCTAACCCTTATCAGTGTTAATTCAGGCATTTATTATTCTTGCTTGGTAAGCAAAACAGGGAAGCTATTTTGTAGTATTCTCTATTTCCACATCCTCACAGGAAATACCTACAGTATTACAAATACTGAAACTAGTTATGGTTGATTGTCCATGTTAATAAATCAAAGGGTCAGCTTTTACATTTACAGAAATTCAAAAGCTGTGTGAGTGTAAGTTCCTACAAAATGAGCTCAATGGTTGGCATTTGTAACTACAGCATATAAGACATGAATGTGAAAAATGTTTTACATTTGCTTGATTATAGTATTGTAAAAAACTTTACTTAAATGAAATAATTTGCACTGTAAAATGTCTTCAAGGAATTTGAAGCCTGATAAGACTCCCCGTCTTTGATTTCTTCTGGCTCCTAATTTAAGTTAGTTTTAATCATAGTGTTCCCTCAATATGCATAAGAACAGATTTTAAAGATAACTAAAATAACCCAGATGTTACAAAACTATTATAAATATGAGAAGACATTAACCTAACTGTAAAATCTGTGTGTCTAAGAGTCAAGAAATAAAACAACACAGGAACCAGTTCAGAGTTTGACACATCTGTTTAACTTTTCAGCCATCGATAATACCCTCCCTAAACACAGGGTTTCTCTTCACTGGGACCTGAATACACTTGGTTTGAAGTGGCATTAAGAACTGTTACAAGCTGTCGTTTAAGATTACAGGAATAAATAAATTCCAGGTTTGCATTTTCAGTTTCAAGCAAGAAACAAAGAGGTGTCATCTGAGATTAAGACCTGTAAAGGGTACTGGGAGATTTGGATGCAGACTCTACTTCACCAAAGCCACCACAGCTACAGGCTGGCTAGAATAAAGCAAGCAGGTTTGACCCATATGTTTTTCCAGACACTGGCAAACACAGGAAGTTCACGGGGAGATCTATTTGATCCTTGTAAATCAAATACTTCCTCTTACTATGGCTCACTCCTAAAACATGCAAAACACAATTAAAGGCAGATCTGCTTTATAAACAGGGTTCAGAAAAAATGGGGAATAGGCAGATCTTCCTAAACAGGAGCAATGTTCCTGCTTACAGAATGTTTTAAGTAGTTACCAAAGGACTGCAAAAGCAAAATACCTCAGGAAAGAAAGGGCAGCAGAAGTCTCTAGGAACATCACAAATTTTTGAACAAGATTTTAAAGAGATTGCACAATTTTTATTCTAAAACTTGGAGACACCCATCTGTTTCCTATCAGGACAATCACAAAGGGATGGGAGGAGGCACTCCCAGGCACCCAGGGAGCACAATGGCAGCCAGCAGGAGCAAGCCCAGGCACGGCTGCTGTGTGCAGGCACATGGGCACCTGTGGGCCATAGGTCTCTGCCTTGGGGACATCCTGGCTCGCTATGCATACACAAAGGATCTGGCACGTTCCAGGCCAGCACTGCACAGCCACCACTTGCATGGACAATCTCTGCATACAAATAGCAACTCTGGACCTTGCAGGACAGGTAAAGTAACTGGCATGCACTAAACCCTCATCAGCATGCATGGCAAGGGAGGAGGTTTCTCAGCATTCAGGACTCTCTGAAACCAGCCTTCACCTGGGAACCCAAGCAAGAAACTGAGGCGTGCAAACACCTTTTGAAAATTCTGACAGTGAATTGGTGGAATACAGCGGGTACCACTGGTGGCCAGGCAGCTAGAAGGTATTTTTACAAGCTAAAGTTCAGTGACTTCTCCAGCTAACCATATTACTTTATGAATGTGTTATGTGAATTTCAAGCATCTTTTCCAAACACGGGACATTTTAAGTGCTGTGCTAGTAGTTTTAAGCTAATCTTGTGTTCAGTCACATCCTGCAAGCTGCCAGGCTGATCTTTGTTTATGCTTCCTGAGCTGTGATGCTAAGCAGGGCACTGCTTTTGGGGAAGCAGATAGCAATATCCTGCTGAGATAGGCTTAACTGAAAAGGCACATACAAGATGGTCAGCTGGTTACATGATAAAGCAAGAACAGAAATGTATCCAAATCTCCACTGTTATAAAACATGAAATTTAATCAACTGAGACTCACCTGAGGTTTGTTAAGGAACACGATGAGTCTTTCAGCATGTCTATGACTGATTTCTGACAAAAAATTCAATTTACATCCATGTTATAACTACCTGCCTGACATGTTCCAGTAACTAGATGCTTGTACAAATACATAACTATATCAGGGCCACTGCTGCCCATATTTTATAATAGCTGCAGCAACCCAGTAGAATTAAAAACAAGCAAGGTTACTTCAAGTCTGTAGTGACACATATACAGAATACGCCTTAGTATTAATACCTTGAGAACTGATCCCTTTTGCTAGTCAGAATAGTAGTGGAAATTACTTAGTGGTAGTTTGTTGTCATTGGTTTATTTAGAAACATCTAAATAAACTAAACGTCAGGTCAACCAGACAGGAACCCACAGGTGAAAGGAATTAGCATTTCAGTTTTCACAAACAGCAACAGTCAAAGCTCTAACCTTGCATTTTTGTGCTTTGGCATGGTGCAGAACATCCTGGTAATGCCTTGCATTTACTGGTCTCACATCTTGCAGCTTGGCTGTGGGCAACAGCAGGGTTTCTAGAGTTTTCTCAGGATTTCCTTGGTCAATTGCTTCATTAATCTGGCCAATTGCAATGATTCCTATGAAATGGAAAAGTTATTAGAGACGTAGTTATCAAAGAAAGATGCAGCTTATCCAATACCAGGTACAAACAAAGCAGCAACATGAAGAACAGAAAAATCAAGTAATAAGCAGAGGCAGCAACAGCAGTTGATTTTGAATTATTTTTACTCAAATATTCCTGTGAAGTTGTGCAGTTTTCCTTTCTGCTACAGTTATTGATTCACCTGAATTTACCTCTTCATAAAAATCAAATTTATCATTCTGAAAAAAGGAAAACTGACTTGCATACTTTCAGGGCAGGATTATCTACATAAAATGTAATGAAACATTGGGCATCATATCAAAATATGCTCACCTACATATTGGCTCAGCACAGAAAGACTAATTCTCAGATGATTTCAGACAAGATTACTCGAAACCCTGATTTGGACAAATATATACATACTGACCTCCTAGCTACAGCATTACATACCAACTTAACCTCACTGCTTTTAATTTCACCTTAAATAACCAACCAGATAATGTTAACCTTAGGAGAAATCACTTGATCATTCAAACCAGTGGCACCCAGGTCTTCAGTCGGCAAGTAAATTTAGGGCTTGCTTATTGTATCTGCCACAAATAACCATCCCCAGCCAGTGTCACTGAAACCAAGCACAGCTTATGTAGTACTAAAGACTGACTGCACAACCACCTTTCTTAAGGCCTTTTGCAATTGCAAGTGACTTCAGAAATTCAGACAAAACATGTGATTACGTCAGTCAAATGAACTGCTCAGCATCCCACCCTGCCAGGGGGCACAAGCTGCAAGTAAGCTGTACATGTCCGCCACAACCAGATTTAGGAAGCAATACATAGTTTTATATAGTTAGTTTTAGTATTTCTGCAATATAAAGCTTGCCTTACCAGTATGAAACAGCAGCATGCATGACACTGTAGGCACCATAGGAAGCACACAAGTGCTGTGCATCAGTGCCACCTGCAAACAGCCTGCACCTTATGAAGACTCTTAAACTACCCTCCAGGCTTCTTCCTAACGGCAAAGAGTCTGAAAGCTTCCCTTTCCTTTCCTTTCTGCAGCAAATCTGGCATAACTCGATAGCCTCAACTTTTAATATTTAAAAAATATAAATCATACTTCTATATCCAATGGAAAAGCTTGGTCCTTCAGCATTTTTGAATCCCAAATGACCAGCTATCACATTTAATATAGCACCATGCTGTCAGGGCAATGCAGTTACATTCAGCCTCAAAAATAAGCTCTAAATCCATTCATATTAGAAAAGTAGGCGTAAAAAACTACTGTCAGATAGGAAAACAAGTTACCTAGAAGGAGAGCAGGACAGATAATTGCACTGTATAATTTCTTACCAACTCTCCTGTGAAAGAAGAAGGAAGCGGGGGAAAAAAAAAAAAAAAGGAAAATGGCTTGGAAATAATTTAATATTAAAAACTTTTTCCATGGGACACTGCTCTTTGATTGCAGTTTCAGGGTGGGGGTGGGGAAAGGCAGCAAGATCATCCAGTGCAAATACTGAAAGATACTGACAAGTGGGCAGAACCATGGCATTTGTGACACTGCAAAAAGCAGACACCCTACAGTATATCTTCCAGCCAGCCAAAATACAACCAGGAATACTTCAAGGACATTAAAAAACCAAACAGGTCCTCAAAACTGTTTTAACACTCTTCCCTCTTGAAGAGTGTCTGAACAAGGCTGTTCAGACAGATTCTTAGGTATCAAGGATCAGACTATCATCCCTCCAGGCAACGTAGAGGAAAAATTACTTACTTTCATTTTCTTCTTTAATTTGCATATTAACCATGTCAATGCAGTTCTGGATATCATTCCAGCTTAAATAATCTTGGCCTTGAGATGAAGCCTCTGACTTAATAGACAATAGTGTATCAGCATAACTATAAGAAGATATAAAATACGTAAGTGTATTTCTTACACAAGATAAACTGCCATAAAGAATTAGTCAGATGTACCACCCATGATTTAGTGCCTAGTATTTTTTCAATGAATTAATTTCAGACAAATTCATCTCTTGCCAGAAATTACACAGACATGCAAGCTGCCTTGCTGGTTCTACCTATGCATTTCAGGATCTGAGAGAAAAGCCCTGTACGCTATTCAGAGCACTTTCCTTGGCAACAGAGATGATGGTAATACATAGGCTGGACATACGCTTTGCAGTATGGTGCTACAGATAAATCTGGGAAACTAGGGTTGGCTTCTTGACACAAAGTCAAAGAACAGGATTTCAGCCCTCGTATGAGGTAGCAGCACCTCCTGCAACCACCATGTGGAAGATGATGGACTACAGGCAGAGGAAGTGATTAAAAGTGATGCCTCTCTCCCCACAGCTCAAGGTTCTCCAAGCAAGGACTCTGCAGCCTGTGTCAACTCTTAGAAAGATCATAGATCAAGATGATCTGGAAACTTTCACAGTAGTGTAAACGTGAAATAACTTTCATATTCCTGAATCAAGCATAAACCTGCCACAATATGTCATATCAAGTAGCCTTCATCTATTTCCAGCAGAAACCTGAGAAATTAATGGTTGTCAGAAAACACAGAAGACTATCATGTCCTGCTCCGATTTGCCTTTCCAGAATTCAACAGTCTGTGCTTATGGACTTCCCATGCTGAAGGCTACCTATCACTTTAATAGTTGCAAACAGTACTGTGTTCCACTAATTTACCTACTTGAATTTGAAATATTGTATGTTCTTAAGGGATGAGTCCCAGTATTTAAGTGTTTTGTGAGGTGGCAGTTCCTTATGCAAATTTTAAACTTGATATTTGATAGTGTCCAATCTTTTCTTGCTTCAATTCTTGTAAGAAAATAAAAGCTAAAGTTATAAAAGAAGATAACAACTTTTATCAGCCTGCCTACAACATGCATACTTTTGCAGACCTATGTCATATTTCCTCTAAATTCTCACTTCTAGGAGACACATTTTTAACAAGTTTATGACTTGTGGTAGAAAGCCATTGAACACCATCTCCCTCACTGAATTTTTTCCAGCTCTACTGTACTCCTTTGGGTATTGTGCAAAGCTTCCTGCAATACTCAGCATATGGTTGGCAGCACATTTACATGATGACATCAGAATTTTATTTTATTCTCTAGCCCAACTAGTTCCTAGTGCTTCATTTGTATTAACTGGCAGCTTAATCTTAAAGATCAGGTCACAGTAACACCAGCCAGAAATGCTGCACTTGGGCACTTTGGGGCTTGTTTCTTTATGTTTGTAGTGTTGCTTTTCTTACAAGCACCACCTCACATTAGGAGAAGCCAAGTGGCAGACCAGTTTTGCTCTGACTTATGGCACTCTGCTGCCTCTAACCAAAACACTGGCCTCTTATTCCTGTCCTGGCTGCCCTCCTTCCTGCTCAGAGACACCTAAGTAAAGGCCCCTCTCAGATTCCGGTCCCTTAAGAGCCACTGCTGTCCCTTTTGCCTAGCAATGTCTTCCAGCAGCGCATGGAGGTTTTCCCCTCCAGTGACAGAGAGGCAAGAACTGTCCCATATCCCCACACTCTGGGAGCTCAGGTCTCACACATATCATAGTGTTGCCTGGTAGTTTTTACAGGTACACAAAAGAAGGCAGAGATAGCAGCACATGGCTGTGACAAGTCAGGCATGTGGCAAGCAGCTGGCAGCTGGATGAAGGCTTTAACATGCACATGTGCCACAGCACTGTACTCAGCTTTTTAGCAAGCAGGACTGTGATAAATTTTTAAGACCTTTGCAGTTCTTAAGCAAAAAAAAAAAAACCTCAGCAAAAAAGCAAAACCCAAGTCAGCTGTGGTTTAAGGGACCTCCTGGACCCCAAAGCATTAAACACTACCTCATTCCAAAGATCATCTTTCAGTATTGCAGAGGTTACTGATTAACAGTTTCCTGCCACAGTTTGTTCATGTTTTAGTGTCTGCAAAAATGCTTGCGGGATCTTAATGTCTGCTTTCTGAAGATATCTTCCCTGCATCTCAACTCCTCTGCCCTCAAATATCTGAGATTGTGTGATTTCTTGTATTTACAGATACACAACTAGGTCAGCAATTGTCATGTGATGCCTTATTAACTTATAATACAGAAGTTTATCTTGCAGCTCTTTCAGCTTCATTCACAGCACAACACAGGACAGCCCACCTAGTAAAATGCTTATTTATCCTTTTGCAGAAGTTGCCAAGTCATTGAATCATAGAATCAACTAGGTTGGAAAAGACCTTTAAGATCATCAAGTCCAACTGTTACACCAGGACTGCCAAGTCCACCACTAAACCATGTCACTAGATGTCCAGTCAAGACAAAATGAGCCTTTACCGTTGAAAGTTTTCCTCTTCCAGATTATTGAAGCCAATACATGGGGTTCTGAGATGATTCTTTATCATTAGGAGGTCCTTATTTTCCAAGGCCTGGTTTAGCAACACAACAGCTGACAACATTTCTACTGCAATAGATAGTTCATCATGTGCCAAGTAGTTCTGTAGGACAATAATGTACCACAGTCAGGAAGCTAAGTAAGCAGTGTAACAAATTTGAGTTACACAGTCTAGATATGATCAAGGAGATGGAGCTGATTTAATAAGCCTGGCAAATTTCCTAATCACAGGCATGTCAGGTTAACACAACACTGGTGGTAGAGCTTACTGGGTTTGCTACACATCCCTTCAGCCTTTTCTTCTTTTGGCCCACAGTCCCATCTATTCCGGTCTTACCCTCATAGAAGGGAATTACTTTTCTACACAATATAGTGTATTTATAATAAATACAATATAATAAAATAGAGTTAGTCCTCATTAAGAGCATGCAACAATTAAGAAATATCAGTTGATTTGTTGCAACCCAAGAGCTCAGCCAGAGCAAAGTGTGTCAAAAAGCAAATTCTGTGATTCAGTATTGCCTATTCAACCAAAATCATTCATGCAATATGTAACACCATGGCAACAGAATTAAGTTCAGTTTTACACAACAACATGCTATATTTGTGCTCTTTCATGGTTTGTCTACATTAACTTCAGCGAGCAGCTCAAACTTTTCACTCTTACCACAGCATTCTGTTGTTGGAGGTTGAACAGCTCAGTCTGATAGAAAACAGCAGCAAATGGGTGAACAACAGGCAGCTGCGCCTCCGGTTTCATCAGTGCAACCAGTGTTTTACTAGGATCACAGTTACGAATTGTAGTATTGATATTGTCAACTGCTATAAGTTCTAGAGAACAGCAGGGAAAGAAAAGCCTATTAATTCTCATATACCATTTGCTCTTTATGCCACATAGATGACAATTAGGTTTTATTCCAAAGAATATAATTGGTTGCCATTAGAGAAAAACCAAACATATTTGTGTGAGATTCTTCAAGACACAACTGCTGAATGTTGCAAGACCAGTGTCTGTTCAAAGGTATGCAGCAAATAATTGACTGGAGGACTTTGAAGTTTCTGGACTTCTAGATATTAGTGGCTGCTCATTGTACCTTTAACCCAAAACAAGGAGCTGACTCCATCCCAGCACAGAGAAAGCCTTAACAGCCCTCCTGGGTTTGCATGTGGCAGCTACAGCTGAGTATGTCAGCTCCGGTTGCCTTAGTCTTGCTTCACCACAAATGCCCTTTCCTTCTGCAGTGCAGTTCCTCCCTTGCCTCCCCCTTTCGACAGGACCTAACTAAGCTAGCTAGAACAAGCCTGTCCTGCAACAGAGACATCTTTATTGTCCATTTTGGGAGGCCTGGTTGAAATCAGCCATATGTTGGTGGTTTGGGATTTTCAGTAGCTGAACTGAGGGAAAACCACATGCTATGGCTTCTAGGACTTCCTCTGCATGCAATCTCTTCATTGTTCGTCTACCAGCATGGAATCTCAGTCCTCACAAGCACTGCCATCTAGAAATCATCCCTTTCTCTACAGTTCAGATTTTAAATCAAACAGACCACCATAGAGGAGTACAAGCATTATTCTTTTCAGTGCCTGAGTAACTCGCCTGTTTTGCTTTTTGCTGAACTGATTTCAACAGATGTTTGAACTATCAGAAAAATGACAAAAATCACTCCCCAGTCAGGCAAATGCAAAAACCTTACAATAGTCCTTAGCTTAGGCACAGCCACTGAAATTACACACCTGGAGTCAACTCTGAAGAAACCCAGACCAGGACATACCTGGGAACACACTGTACAAGGGACTGCTCTGGTCTTGCACAAAGGGAATCAACCTTGAAGGTTAGACCATGTGTGACAGAGTAAAGAATGACAATTATGTAAGTGTCATTTCCATCTCCTTCCTCATTTATGGCTTTTCTGTATACTATCATCCAGGGAATGTTTTCATTCACTTGCTGAGTGCACAAAGACGTTGAAAACCTTTCTAAGCAACCAGACCCAACTAAACAAGCCCTTTGGTCATATAGGGCCATGTTGCTCTTGAAGATCCTCACTATGGGCTATTCCTGAGGTTACAAAAAGGAAAAAGCTCTCAAAGCTACAGCATGCATGGTTTTTGAGAGAAAAGAACGACGAAGAAAAGAGTCAGAGTCCACAAATGGACTAGACAAGCTCTGCAGTGAATAACTAAGCTAATGATTTCTAATTCAAGAACCAAGCATGCAATTTGCAAAACACAATTTACATTGTTCACATTCCAATAACAAAACCCACTGGTTTTAACTTTTCGAACCAAACATAAGAAATAAGTTGGTCTCCAGATCATTCCTACTGGTTTTCATACATCACATTTTCCCTCCTCATTTCCTTTACCAAGGAGTGAATCTTCTAGAGAAAGTACTGCTCACCATGTCCAACTGATCTAAAATAGGCTAACATTTGAGGTAGCAAGTCAAACTTCTCTTCTGTCTTACATTGACTTCACAGGACAGCCTTTCAGTCACATTACAAAAGCAACCAGCTTGGATTGAAAGCATTGGAAATACCACCAGAGACAAGACAGCCACTAAGCCATGCCCAGATGTAGCATTTTAACGAAAGCTGAACTTCCTAGCAAAGAAGATTCCAGTCAAAGGCAGCAATACATGCACTGCAAATTTAGATCCCCTTTAACTATATTTTTTTTTTTTTTTAGAAACTATAACCTGTCTTGTGACATTCTTAGCAGGCTAAGAACAGATTAGACTTAGATAAGTGTGCCTAAAACTGAGAAGAGTTTTCCTCTGTGACTTGACTGCGAAGTACTCTTCCATGTGGTCATTCTATCTTAATTCTACAAAGATGTTCATTACTCCCAAGTGAGGATTATACTGGTAAATATTTGTTCAAGCCATCAAGCTGTGCATTGTCTTCGGTTTTAGCCAATGTGTTTACCAGTGGCTTAAGTTATTCAAAGAAAAAAGTGTAAGCTATGTCAGATAAGAGTATGAACAATGTAGTGCAGATTGGTGGCTTGGCAGTTGTGACACTGAGGACAGTTACAAAAATAAAATGCAAAACATTGCTTCTGTTTGAGAAACCTTGTTTCGCACAAGAAATGGTGGATTCAGTTAATCAGATTAACATAATTAAATGGTGATGTTAAAAATTGAGTATTAAAACAGTTACTCACTAAGCTTGTGAGCCTCAGCTTCCGCATTGGCAACACTAACTTCATTCTGTATTTCACTTTTGTCGAGCATATTTGGAACCCCTGCTATCTAACAGATCAGAAAAAAAATAGATTTAATTATGCTTTTAAGTTTGATGGGAGATAACCTTGATGGGACACTGGGGTTTGATTGTACTATCCCCTGTGCATCAAAACACATAGTAAACACAGCATTAATTTTTCCCTGTGATTTTCATCTTCCTCAAAATGATTTTTCTCCTTAAAACCCATAAAAATCTCATTAAAACCAATTCTTTCATTTGCCGTTAGTGATTCAATATTGCCTTTTGTTGTGCTCAAGTTTAACTCATTATCAAATCAAACATAGTATTAGGGGCTGCATGCTATAAATTTTCTTCTTATATTTTAGTAACTACTTAAAAAGGCATCATGCTCTTTAGAGCAAATGCAGCTACTTCAGTGTTGATTAGTACATCGATTATTCAAAAACTTTTATAAAACTGTTTCATAAGTGATGGTGAAAGCAGAGTAAAGGTAATCTTTCTCTGGATTAAAATCTGCTAAAAAAAGGCAAACTGATGCAGAGTACTGTTTCATTCCATTACCTGCATTTTCTTTTCTTTAGAATCACACAATTGCAATAGGTACCATGAGGAATTTTGTGGCAGAACTTCAAGAAGGCTCAGAGCAGGACGGTTCAAACCCGCCATCAGTGCCACTTCATCTTGCTGGTCAATAGCCTCATTCACTTGGACTAAAGCTATATGAACTGAAATGAAAACAGTGCTTACAAACAGCAAATATGCTTTTGTGAAAAAATACAAGTTCATTGCTGTCAGCATCTCACTTCTTGTAAAAGCCAGTGAGAGTGACAATCTTTATCCAGCAAAGGATTATCTATTTCAAGACTAATCCTACAAAGGGAGTCTCTGGATCTGTGCAAGCCTGTCTGGGAGGAGTTCAACCACAGCTGACTGAAAGGTTATGAATTAATTTTGGGTCTATATAGAAAAGGGGGTCAAAATTTACAGTATTCTGCACACAGAAGGAACTCGAATGTAAGGAAACAGGGCAGGCAATAAATGATTTGAGTGTGAACTGAGGACTTCTTACAGCGAAACCCAGAAACCCAGATCATTAGTCCCCCTAAAGATTAGTAAAGAAGGAGCAGCAAGAAAACACTGTTGTAGACAGACATAAGCTACTTCTGCATATTTTATAATATTCCACAGAAATATTTTGTTTGTTCACGTGGATTCAGGTCACATTCAACTGGAATCTGGGAGATCCCGAGTTACGTGCACACTTCTGTGATCCAGAACAGCTTACTGTTTATCTTATTGATATTGCCTTGAATCTCAGCTTGTGTCAGCAGCTCCTCATAGACATCTCTCTCTTCTTCAGAGATTGTGCCATTCTAAGAAAACAAAACTGTTGCTAGTACAGGCAAAAACTTTACAGAGAGAAAAGTTATTCGCAGGCGTCATTGAAACTTTGTCAGCTGAAATATTTGCTGGACGTATTTGTAAATGAATTTGTCAACCACAGAAACTAAACAAATTAGCACTTTGTGGTAACTTGCTGAGCAGTATTTAAAGCATTTTTTGCTTCCTGTAAAATAACCATGTAAATATAGCGTAGTATTTTTCAACTACAGAAAGCATTTCTCGTCACGTAGAGAATAAAGCAAATAATTTCACATTAAAGATCTGCGGCAGAGGTTATACTTTACGCTCAAAAAAAGTATAATTTTTTTTGCAATTTTTTTAAACAGATTTTTGTTTTATTTTTATTTTACCTCTAAAGCAGGTAATAGAGGAAAAACAGGGTTTTTTTGTTTAAGTCTTCCAGTACTTTTTACTTTGGTCAAAGTTAAGCTACATCATACTTCTAGTAATCAAAGTCTTAAAAAATGGGCTGTCAGCTTGTTGCACTAGCACTATGCATCTTTTTCAGCTTGAAAGTGTGGTGGTTTTTTTCCTAATTGCACTATTAACATTAATTTAAGTTAATTTTTAAAACAGTCAGCAACATGAAGGAACATGTATACTATGAGTGCTAATAAAATACCACTACCTTAAGTCTTGCATTTGATTGTTTTCTCCTTTTAGCTTCAAAGAGTTCATTCTGATAGTCTTGTGCAAGTTCTTCATCCACATTTAGCAACACTGCATTTGGGTTCCTTAGAGTTACAATGGTTTGCTCAGCTATTCCCTTCTCAATAGCTTCATTAATTGCTATTACTGCTGCATGCACTGAAATGAAAAGAACAACCCTAAATTTCAGGAAGCAAAACACATTCAAAACTGTCACTGCTTCTTCTGATTTGAGTGTTTAATATATGTTCAACAATTCACATATTCCCCTTCCAACAACCCACTCCTAATGTTTCCCCTAGACATAAAACAAGCATGAAGTCAAGCGATACATTATCGGAGAGAGCAGTTACTGTACAGGTTGCCTAGCTGTTGGTGGTTAACCCATTGCTTAGCGTTAAATTCATGCTATAAAGTTGGTCTAAAATGATTTTGCTCTGTCTCAGTTCAGCACAGCATCACGTGGGAAACATAAGCAGCTGGCACAGTGGAAGACAAACAACCAGAGACACACACTGGTTCCTTTGACATTGAACTTCACAAACAGAGGAAGTTCAGATTGGACATTAGAAGGAGATTCTTCACTGGGAGGCTGGTTGGTTGCTGGAACAGATTCCCCAGGGAAGCGGTCACAGCATCAAATCTGTCAGAGTTCAAGGAGTATCTGGGCAATGCTCCGAGTTATACGATTTAGTTTTAGGTCATGCCACAATGAGCAGGAAGTTGGACTCAATGATCCTTATGGGTTCCTTCCAAATTGAGGTATTCTATGATTTTATAAACACTCAGATCAACTGCAAGGCGCTAAGACAACTGCCATTCTTAGACACACATATCACCCCTGCATCCTTATATAATAAAACACATAGGAAGGATGTAGTATCTTCCACAGTTGTAGAAGAGGCCGCACTGACATAAGTGAAGATAGTAAAAAGTAGTCAAACAACAGCTTCAAGGTTAGGAGAGATGTGAACAGGTATTGGTGAATATTGTGAATCCATCTACCAAGAGAAGCTGTGAGAAGCCTGAGTGGACTTAAATGAGTAGTCTGCAGGGATGGGATAATAGAGAGGATTATAGATAATCTTGCTTTGAAAGCACTTAAGCTTACTTTTTGCATTCTGATTTCTACTATGGCTGACAGCACAGCATGAGTAGTCAGCAGTGGTTTCACTTTGTATCTCCTTTTGCTTACTCCATTTCAGAAGCAGAGTGGTAGACCCTTCCCTCCAGCAGGATCTCCACATCTAACCTCGCTAGTGCTTGAGGGTTCCCAAAGCAGATGTTTCCTGTTCTGGGGCAGCGCCTGTTATCTACAGCACACTCCTTGCCCAAAGGGACAGAAACAGCATCAGGAAACCCTGCTTTTCTATGGAGACTAAAAACACTTCAGAAGTTAAAGGAAATCCTACGCATTCTATAATAAGTTTTCAAAGAAGGAAGTTGCAGCCCTTTCATCTTCAGGGAAGGAAGACAGCTCCCTGGAAAAGTGCTTGGTAGTCACTGTAGCTCTGAAAACTTGCTAAAAAAGGAGACAAACTACCCTCACTTCCAAAGGCAGTATTTTAAGAGCTAGCTTTACAGAAGCATGCATATAGTGAGCTATAGCAGGCTCCAAAATCTGCACCAATCGATGTAGGGAAGTGTGTTTTAAGTTAAGGTATGGAAATCTTAGCACACTAAGGAACATCATAAATCAGCTTGTTTCTATTATACTGCTTTGCAAGGTTTAACAAAGTTTCAATGGAACTTAATTATAATGCAATTTTTATTCCCCCCACCTTCCCACGTACAGTCTGCAGTACTCTTACTAGGTTGTATCAATGACCTGCTGTGCCATTGATCATATTTAAGCCAGCCCTTCTGTTCTTCAGAACAGCAGTCTGAAAAAGGCTAGGATTTTCAACAAAATAACCAGAGCTCAAATGTGGATTGGAGTGGACACACTTCATTTCATGTCATTTAAGTTCAAGAAAGTTTGTGGGGTTTTTTTTAATATATCACTTCATTCCAAAGAACAAACAAACAAAAAAAACCCCAAAAAACCAAACCAGTCCCCCTCCCCCCAAAAAACCCGCATGGAGAAATAATAGATTTACTATGATGGATAGGCTTGGGCAGCAAAAAAGCATTCAACTATGTTTTTGAATGGAAGCTATTCAAGACAGAGTCAAAAGGACTGTAACTATACATCAATCTCCCTAAAAAGGAAAAGCTTATTTAAATATCTCAGGTTGCTGTGCCAAAAAGCAACCTGATGTGTTTGAGGAAAACCTGCAAGGTTCCTGCAAAAATCCAACACAGGAAGGAGGCACAGAGGAGGCATTTCATTCCCATGGCCATCTCCATTGAACCCTCTACGGTGCAGGTACACACGTAGAGGCCAAGTCATCAATCTGGAGGAGCCCTGCTACAAAAACATCATACTCATGCAAAAAATTGTAAGAAATCTTTGTTTCTGGTAGCACTTCCTGTGGTTCAACAGAGATACTCCTGCAGATTGAATGCAGACTGAAAAATTGCAAGAGGTCTTGCAATAATGATGTGGTGTGATAATCAGTGAAAACTTGTTGGCACTAAGAGGTGCCAAACATGGTGAATTAGACCAGAGAAAATATTTTGTTAGCATTCTGTCAAATTACCCAGTAGAAAACAGAACAAAAGCCACACTTACACGCAGCTTCATCCACTGATAATTCACTGGCCAGAATCCCACCAATTTTACTAAAAGATGGCATCTGTATACCGTACTTCTCTAACTCCTTTCGCATGTTGCTGATTTCTTCCTCTGTTTACATAAAAAAAGAAAAAAATTAGAAGAAAAGTATTAAGAACTTCTTTATGAATCACCATACCTACAAATACGGGTGCAGTATTTTGGAAGTGCATGTGGTCAGAGCTTCTTAGCAGACTTTCCTCCACATTTTGAAGGAATCTAAGATGTGACAAGTATTCCATGCAAATTCACTCCCTTCCATCCTTCCCAGTCCAACATTCATTAAAAATAACAGCCTCCCACCTACTTTATTAGCATGTGTCATAACAACCATGTAGGAGGAGAAAGACCATAACAGAAAATATGTACAAAGTTAGCAGATTTACTGGGTGATAAAACCATCTAACATATGATCAGATAATCAGTTTATTACCTGTGAAGTCTACTTTTCCCAATAGGTCCTGGATTTGTGGTGCTAATCCTAGTTTGAACAGATATAAACTGCAAAGAAGAAAATTAAAATGTAAAGTCCTGCATGTGGTTGAGGTGTCCATTTTCTGTACAAGAGAAAAGTATTTTTATGAATCTTGTCCTTTAATCCTTGAATTTTGTGGGCCAGTATGGAGTAAACCCTTCAGTTTTCTTTATTCTGGATTTTCAAGTTTTACAGGAAAAGAATTATTTTTTCACTTAATATTTCAAAGCAACATCTCTAAGAGAGGCACTGTCAGTGTATGTCAGATCACAGGGGATGTGTAAACAAGTAGGAAAACTTAATGGAAGACAGTTAAAAAGTTTTTAAAGCCCACATTGGCAGGCGAGGGGGGGCGGAAATCAAGGAATGAATGCACTTCAGTACAATTTATACCTTTGGATCTATGTACTGTCTGACTTACACTGCATCTTCCTTGTAATTAATATCTGAAGACACACAAATCACTGACACCCTTCTTACTAAGTGTAGAGGAACAAGGACCTATAAGTTTGTACAAGCCTATCTCACATATATTTGTGTGATCAGCTATTTATCTTTCGTAAGACAAAAAAAGATCAATTTGAAGTGATATATAGCATGTACATTTTTGTTTCAATATAGCATGGAAAAACATATATACTGATTCCTAGAACTCTAGGGTGCTATGTGAAAAAAAAATAATATCTGAGACAATGCATATTTTCTCAGTATCTTCCAAAGATATGTATTTATCTATGAAAGATTAGTGTTTCTACAGTTTATCAAATATGTATACAATTTCATATATAATTTATACATAAGATCAACAAACAAGTGAGTTTCGCAAGCAGGGATTGAAAAGGTAGATTTTAAAACCAAGACTTAAATAATGCTTTCCTCCAAAACGATTATTTTGCACCACTTACTTTAATCACCTCACCCCAACGTCATGCATTGCAACTGTGCATTGAAGATTAGGAGCTTTGTTTCTAGAAGGGGGCTCTTCCCTGTTGTGTTTTGTCATTTGGGTTTTTTTGCTATTAGCAAATCACAGGATAAGACTTCAAAGCAAGTATTTGTAATTGTCACATTTCAGAGCACACAGAATCAACATTTCATTTTCCATACTGCCTCAGCTGCTCCTCTGCTCTGTCACAACCTGAATGGACACAACAGCACATCTCATGTAGGTCAACACTTTTGACTGCTGCAGCCCCTCAGAATCATTGTTTTCAAAGCAGTCTTAAATGCAAATTTTCTGTACTATGACTATAGTAATGGAGGACCACGCTCCTCCATTACCCTTATCTACTTGCCAGTCTTTCCTTGCCGGCTTTGAAAGAGATTTTACTTGAAGTCTGAGACAGAGAAATAGTCCTGGCTGAAGTACTGGGTGGGTATGAAGCTGAAGGGTGTTATACAAACAGTTATGGAGATCAGCAGCAGCACAGGGATTCGCTGCTTTTTTGGGGGGATTACCATAATAAAAAGACAGATAAAAAAAGTGGTACGAACATCTGAGACTAATATTTTTGCTACTCAGCCCTTCCGGGAGGATACTGAACCACGTGTGTTACTTCTACACTCTTTTGTTTGGATAAATGTATTAACCACCAGGTGGTGCTGAAAATGTGTTTCGAGTCTTGCAGGGAGCACCAACACACTTCTACTCTGTATTAGGTTATAATTTCACTTGAAACAGCTTGCTTAGTGCTTTTATAGTGTAACTTGAACCTCAGGAAACCCACATAAAATCAAAAGCAGGGGATCTTGGCCTTAAGAAAGCTGGATATGAGGCTTCAGGAGCAGGGGAGAAACAAATGGGAAAGGGAAGTTCCCAGGTGAAGTTCCCCTTGCTTGCCCATGGAGAACTGCAATTCACTTCAGACAGAGGTTCATGAGTCTTGTTTTATGGTTAGCTCATATATAACATGCCATAAAAAACAAATCTGAAAATAGTGTGTCTTTTCTTCTTTAAGAAATGTGTATGTTTTCCTACTGCTTATTTGGAAAACAAAGTTTAGAAGCTGTCAAGATTCAGAGGGATAGTTTGTCCAGGAGGTAGCAGTGATCTGCTTGCTTACTTTACAAGCAGATTTGTCATTTGACAACTAAGTTTTTCAGAGTGTGTGTGTGTGTGTGTGTGTGTGTGTGTAAAACAAAGTCTCGGAAGCACTGCTATTTATTAACATGAATCGCTCTTAACATCTTGATTTAAATGAAGCGGTTCTTAACCTCATTTAGTCCAGGAACAAATCCAAATCGGCTTTCACAAGAAAAATGGTGCACGAAATGAGACTTATGCCTTTGTATTTTTCATGTTGGGCTTTAAGTATTGATGTTTCAACATGAAAAAAGCAAGAGGGTAATTATATCCAACAGGAGTCTAGAAATTGTTTGTTACGTCGTTCCTTCCTGGCCAGAGCAGTGCTGAATTTGACAGTGCAAGTTGTTCCACATACACTGGGTGCAATGGTCTTCATTTCAGACTTAAACTAGGACATATTCTAAAAAATATATTTAAACCTTCTTGCTTAAAGTCATTATCTATCTTCAGGCACTCTAAGAGCTAAAAGATCATCAAACCCCAAATAACCAGAGACTGTCCTCTGAAATGTTAACATTTCAGACGTCAAATAGACCCTTCGGATAGATGGAGATTTTTGCTCCTATTACCTACAGTTAAGGCTATTTCATGCTTCTTAAAGGGGAAATTAAAAATAATCTTATCAATTTTAAGCACTTTAGTTACGCACACTAACTGTGTATAAATGAATTCAAGTAGGAAAAGTCTGAACTAAAGATGGCATCAGGATTTCCAAGAATGAGAATAAGAAAATATCCTGTGTTAAATTTACATAATTTTGTTGGAAAGCTCAAGAATCATGTTGCTTCAGAGTAATGACTTGGTAACAACTAAAAAAAGAATAAGTAGGTCAACCCCTCACCTCTGAGAAAGTGTTCAATTTTCCCAAGTTATAAGCCTTTGAAATTTGAGCATGTGCTCCAAGATGCATTAGATTTTAGCTTTTCAACCCAATGGTGATTCTTCATACAGTGGTCATGTGCATATGCTACAGCTGCAAAGGTGAAAAGCTTGACTACGATTGCTGTTTCCGGATGCTGTGGTGCTGGACCCTGAGAACAGCAGGGATAGGGACTTTTCCAAGGTCAGTGAACTCTGGATGATTCCCTGGAAGAGGACTCTCTAATAAACCCAGAGAGTAAAGCTGGTAGGGTGCACAATGTGAAGCTGGGGAGACAGATGCCAGCAGCAGAAGAGGAACAGAATTAGAGTCCTGCAGCCCAGTGTTCCCCTGGTGTCAATAAATATGGGAACACCGCTAGCCAAGCCAATGCCCTGCCTGTAATTCTGTTTGCTAGATTGCTTTCAGTGTAGGCTGTATGCCATTTAATACTAACATGGGAGTTTAATTTGAAAGGATGCAGAGAATTAGTTTGAAAGTGAAGGACTTACGCATTTTAGGGAAAGGTATAGAAATAAATGAAGCTCAACAATTGTTCCTTCAATTGTTACATCCTGCCTGTAAGTCTGTTTCTAAAATAATAGCTTGTAAGTACAGAGTTGTAGCTTTGTGTTGATACACATCAAGAAGAAGTAATTTAAACAAGACAAACTTGGAAGTGAAAGCTAAGACAATACAGACTAGTTCTGATGCTGGCATAAGTGTTGTGACCTGTCAAGATGGAGAAAGGAAAGATTTTGAAAAGGTCAACCTACTGCAAAATTCAGTTCAAAATGATAAGAGTTATTGCTGTTGCAAAGATTAGGGAGAACTTAAGAAGGTATCTAATTGATGGGCTTATTGTTCATGTAGCATTCAAATGCACAGTTGGTGAAGCGTTCCTCCATACATGAGGGAGCAAATATTGGAAAGCCTCATTGTGTTCTTCCACCTCCTGCAAAACATTCAAGTCAGTACATAACATGGCTGGAGGGGCACTCAGCAAACCATGTCATCCTGAGCTGGTTAACACCAGAGCCCCATGCATCTAATTCAAGAAATCACTTTAAGCTTACATGAGACACCCACTGATAGAACAGACTGCACTATCAAGTTTTAGGTGAGAGCTATCCTCAAACAGTCCTGGTGATGCTCTGTAGTTAGAATTACACCAGACGTAATAATTTCAAGAAGCAACACTTGCAAATATGACAAAAAAACCCGTCCAAAACTAACAACCCAGCCCAATAAGAAACACCACAACAAAACCAGGACTGTCAACTCTTAACACCTAGCATTTGAAAAAAATGCGAACTTTGGTGGTACAACCTGTTTTTATTGGCAGTGAGCACACACAGAGTGCAAGAGTGGCCACATCATTTCAAGGATTAGACCTTAGAAAGTTTCAATTACAGCATGTATTGAATAGTTTCTGACCTATAGCCCTGGAGCAGCTGGTGTGCCTTTAAACACCACCATTAGGAACACAGAAGAGTGTTTGGGGCATATGGTAATTATGTTCTCTGCAAGACTAGTTGCAAGAAAGTAACGAAAGGGAAAGGTCTCCATGTGCAGGAAATGAGCTAGGAGAGCCACAAGAGGGAGGAGCTGCCTGCTAACACCACTGCCCCTCATGCCGGGGACAGCATGAGGCAGATGTTTATTACTCTTGCTAAAAATCACGAAAATCCTTTAAGGAAGGATATAAAAAAAAAAATAAACTAAACTCTACGTTCAATGATGTGGTCAAAGCCCTCCCAAATTTACATTCAAAATCAAGCTGCTCAGAACTTTAAAATCTTGGAAAATACTAATTTTTACCCTGATGAGTAGTTATTTGCTTCATTTTGGGACAGTAAGATGTCAGTTCATCATCATTTTCACTCTGATCAGCCTGTCTGCCCCATGCAAAGTTTTATTTGGTTTCTATACAGTATGTTTGGAAATACTGTGAACTTTGTGAAAAGGTGTGCTCATTGAGAGAAGGGTGTCTGCACTAAGTTCAATTGTCTTTACTTTTTATTTTTAAAACAATTTGGCCAATAGTCATGAAAAAATTGGACTTTTGTTTCCAACTTTAAATTAATAAACATTTAATTCTGTTAGATTTTGATATACTGGTTGCCCTAAAGCCATTTCATGACTTACACTCCTAGATTTGGCAATTACTTTAACTTTTACTCCTGTCACTAGTTACCTTAGAGCGTGAATGCAATATATCATCCTAGGGATGTTTTTCCTATCATAGACATCCGTAGTCTCTGGATAAAAGATCTAAAAAACAAAGAGCACACAGTTAAAGGAGAAGACATATTACTGAGCAGAAAAGTAGCTAAAAAAAGCTCTCTGCAGGACTATACCTTAAACTTACAGAATTTCAGCTGCTACTTCTATACAATTATGAATCAAGTCTCTTCTGATGTTATTTTAGCTTTACCAGTAGTTTTCATAAGGAAGAATTCAATAAAGCGTTAAAAAAATACTGGGGGAGTGGGGATCAGAAAGATAAGCAGACAGTATTTCAGCAAGATTTTTAGAAAAGGTCCTTTGGCAGAAGCTCCAGCACTAGAACAAGCAGTAGGGCTTGTCCTTCTACAGACACCCCAAACCTGGGATGCAGCTACAATTTACAACACCTCCTTGCAAACCAAGCTTATCAAGGATGTTTTAAAACTGCAAAATTCTAATTGCCAGCACCCCTAACTTTGTGAATACATCATTCACAGAGAAAGATATTCAGAGAGGAATAGAGGAATATTAAGCAATTTTGCCAAAAAGTCACATCATAAGTTCCAGTTCTGGTTCTATCACTAATTTGTTCCTGGCCTTGGTCCCAGTCCCTGAACACTGCTTCTCAAAAAAAAAAATAAAAAATTTAAAATAAAAGGCTTAGTTAGCCATGAGAGTTGGCAGTGTGCTTCCAGCCCAGGCTGGGAAGCTGGGACTGTGCTGTCCCATAGTTAATGAGACAAGACTGAGTAAGTCAGTAGTACAGTGCCCTCTTCATCTTTCACTCACAATAGTTCTGGGAGGGAAAACAGGGAAAGCATTTGGCCATGACCACCTTCTGCAACAGAAGCAAAACGTTTCAGAAGAGAGATGGCAGGGTGGAAATCAGCCAGGTGAATGGATGACTCAAGTTAGACAAGAAAAAAGCCTGACCTGGGAAAGGCAGGACCCTCCCCATCTCTGTGGCATTTCTGCTGGCAGTCATGGGTGCCCCTTTCTGCTTATGGGCACCTGCAGTGGGTTTGACTGCAGACTGGCCACTAGTCCCTACAGCCCTTCAGGCAGCTGCCTCAGCATCCCTGCTGTGCCTGGCCTCAGGCCAGGCACCCCAGTATGGCTGCTGGGCAGTCTGGGTGAGGGATTACTTCCCCCCAGCCGTGTGCAGACGTCAAAATGTCCGAACAATCAGAGCGAGAGTTTCCACACTGCCCTTTCTTAAAGGATTTTCACCTGAAAAAGACTTACTTTTGCCCAGAAACAGCAGCAGAGGGGGACATGACAAGCAAAGACCCACAAGAAGGAGGATAAATATAAGAGCTGACGCAAGAAAGCAGCTGACAGAAGAGGAGCAGCATAGCTACGTAGATGCACTGGAGCGTGCAAGGGCAGTCTGGAAACAGGGTAGAGGCAGAGAAACTGGGAGACACATTAGGAGAAAGAGGCAGAAAAGACATGATGAGAGTGAGCGAGCTGAACGAAGCAAATATTTAAGTTTTGTGGTTTAAACCATATTCCTTTCAGGCCCCCACAATGACTGCACAAGCAATAAGATATAGCTAAACCACTGCTAGCATTTCTACTTGTCTTCCCACAGGAGAAGCACCCTGAGTATTTCTACACACAGTGCTTGTCCACAGCAGCCTCAGCCCACGCACACTAGCAGCAGTAGCACATAACTGACACTCCCACAGTTTCAGCATTATCTTCACTTCAGATTTGTTTCCGAAATAACCCCTTCCCTATAGAGTTACTGTAAGCAGCTGTTTATGCTCAAACAAATAAAAGGGCATCTCAGTGAGTCAGTGCCTTGAGCTGGTTTCTTTGCTAAAATTTAAAGGCTTACCTTAGGCAAACCAATGGACTCCATTGCTCTTAACCACTGCACAGTATTGTCAGTGTGCCGAAAATGAAGGCCAGATCGCTATTGCAAACATAGAAGGAAAAGATGGTAAAAGTCACATAAAGCAGGTCTGAATGTGGAGACCTAAAGCGTCACAATCTCATTACTGCTTGTGGAGCATCCTGACACATCAATGTCCCCATGCTGCGCAGCTAAGCCAGATTTGTACCCATCTGAGTGGGCTTCTACTGATGTGGCCATTTGCGCAGCCCTTCAGTAGTCTTTGGGAGTGAAGACTGTCTGTCAAATACTGGGAACCACTACCTCCAAAATACAGAAGTGCCAACACTGCTCAGCACTTCTGTGAAGGAGAATGGATAAGGAGCTCTTACTGACTTGTCAGATTTATCTGAATATCTGACCCTCTCTACAGTCTAGGCAGGCAGCAGTTAGAAGAGCAGAACGGGATTATTTTTTTTTTAATGTTTTTTTTTAATTTTCAAAGAGTCAGGGTGAAAGTGGAAAAGAAGCCTGAAGTCAAGTTTTGGAGATTTTCAGAAGAGACGTTTAAATGTAACCAGGATTCTTAACCATGGTTCTGTAACAATATGGGACCTAGAACAGCTTAATTTCTCAACTCCCAAACAACAGCCAGTGATTACACCTTTAAAATGACCAGTAATTACACTTTAAAAACAACCATTTAAATTTTTTTCTGCCTGTTCTATATGCTGAAACAATGCATTCCATATTGGGATTGCTAATATGCATGTATATATTTCTATATTATTGTGGATCTTGGAGTTAATGAACAGCTTGCACAAGTAGCAAGCTAACCTTAATTACCATGAGCTTGGTTTTTGCTTCTCAGTGTTAACTTTGATAAAATAAACACACATATCTAATGAAGTAAATGTTCTTCCCTACAAGATGAGTAAAATTTGGAATAGTTATCAAGTTTAATTCCTGAATTATTTTTGGCTTCTATTCCTAACAAGAAATAATTGTATAAATGGTAAAGCTCATGTTCTCCCTGGAGCTAGCAGTGTAATTTGTTCAGCTTTAAAAGCATTAAGTGACACTAACAGTTTTTGTAAGGTTAAAACATTTCTAACATCATGCTGGCTTAGCGCTGTGTGTCTTCCATCTAGTCCTGACAATCTGACAGAAGAGGTGCAGAACATCAACCATGCTTGGTACCTTTAAGAGTTGGAAGACAGACATCATTTCTTTTTTCTGTCTTGTCAGTGAGAGAAATGAAAAACTTATTACCTTATAGCGTGCCTGCTCCACATCGTATATCTTTTTGTCTGACACCACGTTAGGGGCAAAGAATTTCGCAAGCTTGGCAAGGTAAACGCCATTTCTTAAGCCTTCCTCCAGCTCCGTAGTTGGGGGCAGCTCTTCCTCCAAACAGACCTCCATCCACCTATAGAGACATCATTTGAGAAACATTGTTATTTGTGATTTTAATAGAAGTGACATCTTTCACCCACAACCATTGCACTTTTAATGTCACTACCACAACACAATCATAAGATAAGAGGGTACAGGCTAAGGACAAAATTCTTGCATTCATTCACATGGCAGGTCAAAATGACTAGAGAATAGAGTTTGCACCATGTGACCCATCAATTACCAAACAACATGCTTTGAAGTATAAATGCCCTAAGAGGGTCTTTAACTTAGATCTTTTGAACAAAACTATGCTTTTAAATAGGCAATAATTTTAGATGAAACCAGAAGAAAACACAGAGTACAATGTATTATTGATGTTTGCATTTAAAAAAGAATCCATGATAGGAATGCCAGGGCAAAACCTCAAAAGCATCAAGGCCAATGTGTTGGATGAACCTGGTTCCTGCAGCCAATATGCCCTACAGTCCAAGCTCACAGCAATGTTCATCTTAGTACAGAACATGCCTGCAGCTCATCCTCCTCCCACAGAATATGACAGCTCTCCATATCCACCTGTGAAACACACAGTGCCAGTGCTTAGAGGAAGGAGTGAAGCTTTTTGTTGAAACAGCCTAAGGTACTTTATGTATTTGAGGTCTGCCTAGCACTGAGTGGCTGAAACATTCACATAGGATGGCTTCTAGTCAATGAGTGACTAAGGCCTTCAAGAAGGTAAACCAGTTATGCTTTTGAGACTTGGATGTGATAGATATGGTAGTAGGTATAAAACAATTGTTAAATACATAACCAGTTCAGAAGGCCAGTAACAGACGTTAAAGCCGTATTATCCAGTGTGTTTATATGGAGTAGCCAAGAAAAACTGCTACCAAAGCGCTCCTGAAAAAGGTTAGCATTCTAATGACTAGACCAGAAGTCCTTACATTGGTGGTCTAAGTGTTTTCGCCCTGTGATATTATTGTTATCTCTAGCAGATAAATCACTTTACAAGAGCTGTAAATCTGGCTAGTTCTTTCCTAATATTTTTTTCCTTCACTTCAACAATCTCTCTGTTGTTAGGACATTAATACCATTACAAATAGACAAGAACAAAGCTAAAGAAATTAGTTTGCTGTATGCTGCCTGAGGCAGCATTACAAATCTAACACCACCTCCACAGGGGTGGCTTCAGAAACCAGAAAGCTGGGATCCAAGTTGAAAGTGAGCCAGTTTCTTCTCCCACCACAGAGAAGAAAAAAACCTCACTACATCATTTTGTTTCACGTTAAAACTCAAGACAAATGACCTACTTCATTACATTTTTGGATTTGTTACAGGACATATGAAAGTTGTTTCACTGAAGCACAGGCTACCCAAATAGCTCTTCAGGAAACCACCAGCCATAAATCTGGGACAATAACACAAAATTGCGTGGAGTGAGTGTCATTAGGAGAACTGTAGATTGCAGTATAAAAGCTGGTTTGGTGACAAGTTTCCCTGATCCATGTTCATGTGTTATTGGTCCATGCCAAAGGTCCCAAAAGTCATCATCGTTAATGACATTTTATAGACTATCTAGATATACACATTAAGGCAAAATGTCATATTATTCATTTTCTCCAAAACAGAGGACAAGGAAGAATAAACAAAGAATGTGTGCACCTAGCAGTGTGGGTTTCACCTGAGTCAGTTAGCTTTTCTATAGAATTTACTTCCTAAAATGCACCTTCTAGAAAGAAAGTTGTACAGATAGCAGAAGGAGCTTCTGAGCCACAGGAAGTAACCACCATAGGATGAAGCTGACCCTGTTGGTCTGTGCACCGTCTCCAGTGAGAGGAACGGTATGCCCTCAGAGCAGCGTTTGCTTCCTTGCGCTGGATCCCTTATACTTCTAATTCTCTTTTGTTCCTTATTGAAAGATTTTTCTGCTATTTTCAGTCCAGGGCACAAAAAAAAACCATTACATTGCAATTGCCTTTGAAGATACATATATGTGCCTGAAAAAGGGTCCATATATAATTGAGTCATTCCCTAAGCTCTAAATGAGATGCTTACCCAAGGTGAAAGCTACTCCTCAGCTTTTAAATCTCCTGTTATACAACAACTGCAAAACCAGTTTGCATTTGTTTCCAGTGTGGTGATGAACCTTTAAGACTAATCTGGAACCATCCTGTTCTGGACAGGAAGGCTACCCAGTCTGGTGGGTAAATGCAATACACTGAGGAACAAACAGGAAGCAGTATGAGGAAGCAAAGAAACCAGGGACGAGGGAGAAAAAAAGGAGGGGAGAAGGTAATGAAGAATACAGTTATCAATCCAACAAGTCCAGATAAACTAACAAAAGCAAACAGTCTCTTTTTAGAATGAGAATGTTAATAGCTCTGTGGGAAAAAAGAAAAAAAGTAGAGAGAATTAAATAGAGTAGACTTGAAAGATGGAAATAGTTTCCATTTATGGCTAAAAATCTATAAGTGATATCAGTTCTAGACAAACTCACAGGTCCGTAGTAAGACAACTGTAACATAAAGCTTTTGGGAATCAGTCTTCAAGACTGAGAACACAGCTACAGCTTTTACAGGTTTTACCAATGTCTGGAAGTTGCCGAACTTAGCTACAACAAGATCTACTGTGAAAGGATTTAGTCCATTTTGCAAATTTAATCAGAGGAAGGGAAAACCTTCGGATTTGCATGAAAGCCTGCAAATACACAACCAACCTTGTAAGTTTTAGTTATGCAAACAGCTGCCATCCAACTCTGTTCCTCTTTCTCGTAGTATTTATTGTAGCACATTTATGTAACACATTTTTCTCCAGTGCTTGCAGAAAACTAGTTTTTTGTTCTCTTTACACCAATTCAGCTAAAACAGAATTGTAGTTTTAAACAGAAAGAAGCATTAGCATTACTTTAAGGTTGTGAGATTCTACTTTTTAAGGCACAGTTTGGTGAGTTTTATGAAAGTTATTGTATGACATGGTACTGATGGCAGGAGTAGACTGGATTGAAAAAGAGATAAATCCTTCTACTTTAATTTCTTTAAGTGAAACAGAGACTATTCACGTGACAGTAATGATTTATAGTACCTTTGGAGCAATTTATTTTTCTTTGGGGTTGAAAAAACAGCACTGCCTTTGGCTCACTCACCGTTTTCCAAGCACACAGTACTGTGACATCAGCATCAGATTTAAGTGTGTTGCAGAAACTGTTCCCCACAAAAACTAGTTAGTACCCTGGCTATACAAGAGGAAGATCCTATAACCCAATGTTAGATGGTACGTTTTTCTTCAGTATGAAGCTCATGGAATAAAACTAACATAACTATCAAATGTACAAGCTCATTTCATAGGATCATAGGATAGTCTGGATTGGAAGGGACCTTAAAGATCACGCATTTCCAACCCCCCTGCCATGGGCAGGGAGACCTCCCATTAGACCAAGTTGCTCAAACTCCCATCCAGCCTGGCCTTGTGGCCTTGAACTTTCCACAATGCAGTCCCACGACTGTGTTTTTAGGAACCTGAATTTACTGACAAATGTATGCCATGAAAAATTGCCAGTGAACATGGTGGTTGATTTGGTCACTCATTACAGCTGAACTCAAACCCCACTCAACAGTGGAGGGACAAAAGAACCTCAGGAAGCAGACCAAAACATTAAACAACCTTGAAGTCCTGGCTAGTGCCGCCAAAAATCAGCTATCATTAGAACAGCCCTGCAGAGCTACCCATGCCAGTTTAAGTCTTAGCATTTGGGTTTAAGTGCACATTAACAGATGTTCTTCTAAAGAGACACACTTGGGATCATATACCAGTATGCATAAATACAGCCTGCTTTATTTTCGTAATACTGCAGTACTTGCCAGCGCAGAAACAAAGGATTTGCCTTAGACAAAAACCCAAACCTAGACCTGATCAATGGAAATTAATCTCCAAAATTTTAGTTCCAATACATAGCACAAGGAAAGCCTGCCAGGAGCGAGTGTTGAGGTACAATTTCCTTTTGCTTTGCTCAATTCTGTTTTGACTCTTGGCAATCTGCTGCAGAACAGTTCAGCAGTGAATTCCTGGCAAGATAACAATGATGACTTCTGTGCCAGACCCACGAGCAGTTAACAGCATGCTGCTCACCAAGAGATTCCAGTTTCCGCATTTGACCACACAAAACAGCAGCAGTATAATGAGCTCAGACTTGCATTTTTAAACAAAACACCCCTGAATCTCATTCAAGGCAAGGTCAAGGGAACTGGAAGCACCAGCACTGCACTATAAACTTAACCAGTTATGAAGTTGTCATAGTCAGTCTGTGTGATCAGCAAAGCACACACAGTTGGCTAAGGGACTGGAAATGCTGGAGACAGTGCTCAGCAGAGAAGACAGAATACATTATATAACCCAGCCAAAGCCCACCCCATTTGGCGCACAGGGGTATAGCAGCAAAAGTTACACTTGTGCTGCTCTGCCTTTTTGAATTTATGCTGCAAGCTGTGGATCCAAGGACATCAGGTTTTCACCTCCTGGGAAGCAAACCTTTGAAGTAAAGATGGGACTCCAGAGCCAATGCTCAGAATACTGGATGCTGCCATAGTGTATGACAAAGGTATAGAGAAGACAAGATAAAGATGTTACCACGCATTTACTACCCTCCTGGCTCACAACCACAGCCTTTCAGTATGGTTCAGCACAACTGAAACAGACTGTTGACCTAGAGATTACGATACAACCGTCTTGTTCCAAAGAAAGGGTAAAAAAGTGTTGTTGCTAGTAAAGTAACAATCAGTCCCAAAGCAAAATATTAGATTCTGACTTTAAGTGTCTGTGTAGTGGCAGGATTATTTTTATTTCAAAACTTTTATTTGAAGATACTTAGAAATATAAAATAGTCTGAAGCATGAGAACTCAGCATTTAGAGTTCCACATTGTTATGTCTCTAATTTCTGAATGTAGAGACTTGTTAAGAAACCTTACCTCTTAACTCTTCATTTACTTTGGGTTTCTAATTGAAAAAAAAAAAAAAAAAAAAAGTTGGTTTCCCCCCCA